ACGGGCGCCTTCCCCGGCCCCGGGCCAGCCAGCACAGCGGCGGGTTCTTCTCCTCAGGCCCCAGGGGGGCGGGGGGGCACTGCTTCTCGGGAGAGGGCCTGGAAGAGAGAGACCCCAAATCCCCCTGATTATAGGCATGATGTTCTCCCCAGGACCCAGAGCCCCACAGCTCCTCACCCCAAATCATCAACCTAGCCTGGCTGAGATCATTGCCCCGTGCTGCCTCTCACCTAGCGTCCTGTCCTCCAACTCGCACAGCCCTTGAGACTCCCCCATGCACCACACTCCTCCTGCCCGGGCCAGGGGAGGAGGAAGGGCCCTGACCTAGAGGTCTGCCCAGCGTGGGATGGACAGGCCCTGATCTTGGAGGGGAGGCTGCTGGACAGAGGTGACGCCCCCCCACCGTGCCCTCACCTGTACACAATGAGCCTCCGGCAACGGACGTGCTGCTCTGAGGCAGACACCTTGGTGCAGCCCCCTGCCAGTGCCCCTCTGGCCATGGGGTGCTCCATGGCTGGCTCCAGCTGGAATGTAGGGGGCAGCCCCTGGGATCAGGAGTTGAGAGGTCGTCCCGGGGCAGCCTCCTGCCTACTCATCCTCTGGCACGGCCTCCTCTGCCCAAGAGAGAGAATCCAGGGTTACAAGGAGCACTGCAAGACACCACCCCAAGAAGCTCCTGGGAGCTCAGCATGACGCCCCCCAACCTCCTGCACCCTAGGGGTGGTAGCATGGCCCCTAGAGCAGAGGGCTCAGGCTATGTGCACTGAGCTCCCACCCCTCCCACCTTAGGAGGTGGGTATGTGGGGGAGGGGGGAAGAGTTCTTCAGTGCTGGAGGGAGGGGCAGCAATGGTGGCACATTCCCACGGTGCAGAACTCAGAGATCACAATGGACACGCAGAGCAGGGAGCTGCTGAGTGAATAATTACAGGGCATTAGCGGGCAGGCAAAGCTATTGCTAGTGGTAACCAGAGAGCCTGCTTGCCTGCGATTTGACACCTTCTTCTGGTGTGGGAGGTGTGGGGCTCCAACCATCACCTACAGGGGCCCTGATGGAGCAACCCCATCCCTTTGTCCTGCCTCCCTATGTCCCTAGGACTCACCCCCCCCTTCAGTTTCCTCCCTTCTCTCCTTAGATCTGCCCCACCTGCCCTGCTTCTCCCCTCTCTGTCTCCCACTCTGGTTACTCCCCAAACCTCTCCCCCATTGGGGTCTATGCCCCCAGAAGCCATTGCCCCAGCACCCCAAGCTTCTTTTTCTACCCAGACCCTCCTCTTCCCTCTCATTCTCTCTCGCAGGTCCTCATCCCTTGGCTCACCCCACATTGGTTACTCTCTCATCCTGCACCCCCTCCACAAACTACCTCCTTTCCTGTAGGTCCCTCCCCCCACAGTTCCCTTAAATTGCTCTTCCACCAAGTCTCCCCCATTGCTGGCCTCCTTCACAGACCTCTCTCTTCTCCCCAGCTGCCGTACCCTGACTTTCCTCCCTCAAATCCTCCCCATCCCAAATCCCCCCCAGTTATCCTTCCACTGAGTCTCCCCCAGACCATCTCCCTTCCCCCGATCTCCCCATTACCTTCCCCCAGACACCCCCAAAAGCCCTCATTGCTCCCTGCCCCCCTTAATGCTGAATGAATTCTGCAGCAGCCCAGAATCTGGATTTAAGTGATGTGGTATGGTTTGCTCTTGACACCGCAAACGTAACACAAAGGAACCACAGTGGTGCAGTGAGGCCCAGCTAGCCATTATTGTAGGTCCTACCTACATCTGCACATTGGGGTCCTGGGTGCCTTTTAAAACGTAAATGGGAGAGTGCTACTGGTGGGCCTACAGATTGTCTAATGCAGTGTTTCCCAATTTTATTTGGCCACGTAATCCTTTTCAGCTTGAAAGAATTTCAAGGAACCCTTAGGGTTGCCAGGGTAAAATTTGTTGAGTTAAAAAAAAAAAAGACTCACTGAGTCCCACCGAAAAAGGCTCTGTCTCTTTAAGAGAGGGCTAGGGGAGTGCCAAGTTCTTGTGGGACTCGTCCTTTCGCTTTCAGAACCCCAGGGTTCCGTGGAGCACCAATTGGGAAACACTGGTCTAACGGGCTACTCCCCTTTACATGTGAATACTGGAACTCTGTACTCAAAAGGGGTGTGACTTCAATCTGCACGGATTGCTATTCTAGAACATCGTACATGTGAGTAACGTACGTTCCCCTGGGGAAAACGTCTGACCATCTCTCTGCAGAGCTAGTCATCTTTAAGGCTCTATTCTGCTAGTTTAAACCATTCATATGGCCTAGATCTTTGCATCCCTGGCCTGCTGCGCTGGTTGAAAGTCACAGTTCTGTGCTGGTATCAAGTGAACCTATCCTGGGGTTTCCCCCACTTTCACCGTTTGATGATTTGTGGAGAGCAGCGGAGGACCTACAACAATGCAGAGAAAACCGATTCAGCCCGTCACTTTAGAGTCTGGCACTTTCAATCAGCTGGCGTGCGTCCCAGGTCCAGTGAGGTTTCCCATCTGTTTCAGAGAGCTCTTGCAGGGGCCAGTCAGTAAGGCTTCCTTATGCACTTGTGGCAAAGAGCATCTCGCTGTCTTACAGACTCGGGAAGAAGCTGTTTGTGGGGCCGTAGGGGCCAATGCTGTGGTTGTTCCAGGGCTTGAGCACCCAGGGAAAAAGATTAGAAGGTGCATCACATCCTCTGGCACCACCGCCCCCCGCCCCGCCCCCTCCCAGCCAATGGCAGCGGGCCTTGCTCCCGTCCGCCCTCAGCCAACAGGTGCGCGCCTTGCTGCCCCGGGGCTCTCGGAGCTTGAAGCCGTGCAAGCCGCCATCTTGGAAAAGGGCAAATCGTGCCGGGCCTCGAGCTGAGCCGCCGCCATCTTGGGGAGGGGCAGGAGCCCGAGAGTACGGCGCGTGGGCGGTGGGACGAGGACCTAGCAGTGACGCCATGCGGTGCTGCCATCTTGGATAAGGGCATCGGAGACGGTGAAGCCGTTTTAGGGGGAGGCCATTTTGGATGCGGTCCAGAAGCTGGGTATTTAAAGGGCCAGGAGACCTGCGAGGGGCGGGGGGACACCTCCCCATCCTGGGTACGTTGGCTCACCTTCTTAGTGCCCCTACAGTCCTGTTCACACTGCACCAGATTAAAACACGCGCCGAGCTTCCCTCGCCATGCAGCTCACTCCCACCCAGCCACCTGCTCTAGTGCACCCACCAAAATTGTAATTGCACTATGGGGTGCCCCACCTGCCCCTCCTTCCCCCCTGGACATCCCCCTCGGCCTCCTGGCAGTGCGTGTCCTCTGCAGGCTGGGCAGGGATCCAGTTGTGTCCAGGTGCAATAGCCTGAGGCTCAGACCCCATCCCTGCGGGCCCCCCGGGCACACACCCTGCAACAGGATGCGCTCTGAGACCTGGCCGTTCCCTGACTTTGCAACCATCTTCCATGTGCCGTGCTCGTTCTACACCATGCTGGCTTTTCTTTGTGGGGCTGATCCCAGGAGAGGGGGGGATACCAAGCTAGAGGGGCCCATGGGTTTGCTCCAGCGTGGCCATGACTCTGTGTGTGTGGAAGGGTCCCTTGTTACATAGTCACTGGGCTGGCTCTCACGGTGATAAGCTACCTGTGCGGTGCCTATGCCCCACCACACTCCTGTGTAGGGGGTTCCCCCTCCTACACAAGGTACAGGCCATCTACCCCCAGGCATCTTGTTTCTCAAAAGCATCCCTGTGAACATTTTCCCTTTGCTGGGATCCTGCAGCCGAACTTCTACATGCTTAGGGATTAGGGCTGGGGTTAAAATCAGAGCACATTCTCCACGCCAAGCCCTTGGGGAGATTTCACCAAGCACAATCTGGCCTGTTTCCTTCCTCTGAGCAGGATTCCCTGACCCAGCTGTGATCTTCTAGATGGAAGGAGGGCAAGAGTTGAGGATCCTTAAAGTCCCACACAGATGGGGAATGAGAGATACTGGCTTTAAATTAATGGAGATTACCTACCTCCTAGAACTGGAAGAGACCTTGAAAGGTCATGGAGTCTAGCCCCCTATCTTCACAGCAGGACCAAGTAATATCCCTGACAAATTTTTGCCCCAAATGGTCTCTGCAAGGACTGAACTCACAACCCTGAGCTTGGCAGGCTACTGCTTAAACCACTGAGCCATCCCTCCCCTATCCCTTAGAAGCTGTCTGGGAGTGGAGGGAAAAGCTGGGATTCCAGAAAGGCTGAGTTCTGTCTCATCTCCCTCAGTATCATTCCTCAGCAGGTGCCCTGTCTTCATAGCAGGCCAGTGACTCCCTCCCGTGTCAGATACCTGTGTAGTATTTGAGAGGTGCCAGGACATCAGCTGCTCTGACACCTGATCCCAGGCTCACCCGTCCATGATGGGCTGCTGCCTAGAGAGCGGATCTGATCCAGGCTGGGGGCGCCCAGCCAAGCCAGGAGCATTCAGAACTCATAAAATACATCCTAAAATACAGTGACATTGGTTTAAAACTCTGGAGGGATCCTGGAATAAACAGCCCTTGTGCCCCATAGCGGAGGTGACTGCGTATCAGCTCCAAGTGAGGGATCCTACAGAAATATTGTAGGTCCTGTAGAAATCCCCACTCTCTACCTCTGAGGTGGCTGCACCTCTGCACTGGGCAAAGGATCCCTGTATAAATGGCCCCCTGCCCACCCTGAGATGGCTTTGTCTAAGAGATCCTGTATAGTCAGCCCTGACCCCACCCCAAGGGGACTGCATCTTAGGGCTAGGGAAGGGATCCCTGTATAAACAGCCCCCAGAAAACGTCACCCCAGAGACAGTGGCATCTGAGCAGTGGGCAAGGGAGCCCTCCCTGCAAAACACGCCAAAGAAAAACACCCTCAAGCAGCGCATGGAGCCTCACAAGCTTGTCCGGTAAAATGGTCTCCCATTCTCCATAATCTCTCCTCTTGTATCCGGGTAGCACAGGGACAGGGAGCTCTCGCCCATACCGTAGGCCCATTGAACGCCTGAAATACAGGGGGTGATTGTGTAGCTTCTCCCTGCCTGGGTCTCTTCAGTCGGGGTCTGCAAGTCTCGCCCTGCCGTGCGGTAATCTGGGGGAGTCTTCAGCCTATGAGAACGGAGTCACTGCGGGATTCTTCTACCCCGGCTCGGGGGGAGGGAGTGGCAGTGTGGGGGCTGGGAGTCAGGACTCCCGGGTTCTTGTCCCAGCTCTGGGAAGGAAGTGGGGTCAAGTGGTTAGCGCAAGAAAGTGCTGGGAGTCAGGACTCCTGGACTCTTGTCCCAGCTCTGGGAGGGAAGTAGGGTCTAGTGGTTAGAACTGGGAGTTAGGACTCCTGGGTTCTTTTCCCAGCTCTAGAAGAGGACTGGGGTCTAGGCAGGGAGTCCTGGGTTTCTCTTCTTGAGTCTGTGAGGGGCTGTGGATAAATGGTTAGAACAGCCTAGGGGGCGGGCCGGGGGCTGTGATTTCAGTTTCTCGTTTTCTGGTTTGGCTCTGCTGCTGACGCACCATGTCACCCCCCCAGTGCTCTGGGCCTCAGTTTCCCCCTCTGTGAAACCAAGATAACGACCACCCTCCCCTTTCCCTGGGCTGAACTCCTATTTGTGAACTGCTTTTAAGAGTCCCTGCCTGCAAGCAGCCAAACCGGTGTGGGAAATTCTGTGTTGGCAGGCAGCCTGGTGAACCTGTGGAACTCACTGCTGCATGATCACACTGAGGCAGGAGACAGCAGTAAAGGTAGACATTTACATGGAGAATGAGAACCATGACAATTAGGTGTGAATACAAAAAAGGTGTAAATTATATAAACTGATAATAAATAATTAAGCCTCCAAGCGTTAATTATTGGGAGGAAACTTTCCTCCGACACGCTGCTAATGCCATAAATGTGGTCCCTCTGGGACACCCGCCTACTGGCCCAGGCCCACCCCCTGCAAGGCAGGAGGCTGCTGGCAGTGGGGTGTTTCTAGCAGCAGGTGTCAGGGGGCAGGGCACCAGCTCCTGCTGGCGCTTGGCCTCCCAGCTTAGGAGGCCTCCCAGTGCCAGGCGCCTTCCCTCAACCTTGGCCGGGTGATCATCAGGCCACTGCCACCAGTATGGATCTGCCTCCCACCCTCCCCTCTTTCCTAGCTCGGCGGGGCTTTCAGCCTGAGCTGCTGGCCTCCTCTCTGGGCAGTGAGGCTGCAGCTGTACCCCTGGAGCGCCATCCCACCATCCCCACGTGCCTAGGACAGCTTCTCCTACAATGCACTGGGGAGGAACTACCCCGCCAGCTCAGCTTTGTGCGGCACGAAGCATCGTGGGAAACTCTGCCAGCCCGCCAATGTGGGGGAAGGCAGCCCCAGGGATGGGGTGACTGAGACAGGACTTGGCAGGGGGGTTGTTCACGCTGGATGTGCACTCAGTCATTCCCCACGTCTCTGCCACAACAACTAGACTTGGTGGCCTTGGTCTGGGTGGGGGTACTAGATAAGCTGGGCCAGAGGAGCATTGGGAAAGGCTGGTGGCAGACTAATTAGCACCATAGATTGGAAAACCAGGGGGGGACTGCCCATAAATACCAGACAGTTGGCCCACAGTAACCATGCTGTTGTCCAGCTCACCCTTCCTGCATAGCCTAGGCTAAAGAGCCTTACCCAGGGCCATCCGTACCCATGCATAGAATACGCATATGTGTAGGGCACCTGAAAATTTGGGGCACCACTGGGTCTTTATGTCCACTTACCTGCTCTTCCTATCCTTGTTCTGTGGCTCTACTTCGTCTGGAGAGGACCTAGTTAACTTACAAGTGAAAAAGCCTGCCAGAGCTATGAGCAGAACATCTAACCTGTGAAAGAGCTCTTCAGGAGGTAATGAAGGCATTTCATTTACCATCCCCAGGCAGGGGCAGATGATGATTTTGCGGGGCCCCCCTTTGACACGGGGCTTCTTGAAGCGTGGGGCCCGGGGCGGCCGCCCCGCTTGTCCTGCCCTATATCCCCCCTTGCCCCCAGGTATATCCTGTCAGTTTCTGAATTTATGGTGTTTGTTTCTACAGAACCTTAGTTTTCAATTTGCTTTAAAACAATTTCATTTGTGCGTTGCTGAAGATTATAAAATTCTCATCTCTAAAAAATCATCACCCCCAACAGTCTGGTCGGGGATAGGGCACCAATTTCATAGTACTGCCTAGGGCCCCATAAATTCTAAGGACATCCCTGGCTTTGTGACTCTCACAGTGGAGGAAATCCTGCTTTCTTAAGCTGTCCAGCCCCTGAAAGTAAATTAGAGCATAAGGTTTTGTCTGTATTCCCCTGGGAGAGTGTTGAAAAAGGTAGGGGATTGCTCTCCTTCCTTCTTTCCCTGCGGGGAGGGGACAGAACCTACAGATTTTTCTGTTGTAACAGGGGCCATGGTATGGAAAAAGCTTGAAAGCTAGGGAACAGTAGTACTTAGCTCTCATGCCATGTTTTTCAGCTGGGATCTCATTTCCCCAGCTTTACACATGGGGAAATTGGCACACAGAGGCTACGTCTACACTGCCAGTTTTGCCACAGAGAGTATGCAAATGAGGCATAGGTTAGCATATCATTGTGCCTAATTTGCATAATTTATTCACACTGTTTTTGCGCAAAGGGTTTTTGTGGAAAAAAAAGTAGTGTGGACTCTTTTTTGTGTGCAAAAAGCCCGTTTTCCGCAAGATCCTTATGCCTCGTTCGAAAAATCCCTGTAGTGTAGACACACACCCAGTTTTCTATCTCGTAGGCTGCATTGTCTCCCTAAAGAAATGCACCCCCGTTTCCATGTAACAGACAATCCATCACAGCCCTGGGTAAGGCTGTTCCAGGATCCAAAGGCTAGGATTTGAAGGAAGACAAATTCAGACTGGAAAGAAAGTGCCCTTATTTTTGTCCATAAGGGCAATTTCTTATTGGAACAACTTCCCAAGGTTTGTAGTGGATTCTCTACCACAGGCAGTTTGAAAAATCAAGATTTGCTTTTTGTAAGAAGACCTGCTCTGGTTCAAATGAGAATTAGCTGGAAGGATGTTCTCCAGGCTCTGCTACACAGAAAGTCAGACTAAAGGCTCCCTTCTGGCCTTATAATGGCTGCTACTGTCTCCCAGTGACTGCGATCAAGTCACTTCCATTTGATAGGCTAAATCAACTGAGCTCAGTAAGTCTATTGCAGATGAATCATTCTTGTTGCACTTCTCTGAGCCCTTTCTAATTTGTTACATTTGAAGCTGTGGACCCCAGAACTATAGCCAGGATTTGGATGAATGGCAACGCATAAGCTGCCATGTGATAAGGGAGGATTCAGACAGTGGCATTAGACCAGGCTGAGTAGGCACAACACAGAGAGGTTTGGGTAGATAGATTGGGTGGCTGTCTTCCTTCCATGGTCCTTCACAACCAGAGTAAACTTTTCAGACATATCAACGGTTGAATGACAAATTCCTTTGCTGGAAGGTTGCAGGGTTTCTTCCTGCCCATCCGGCTTCCGTTCTCTCCCTGGAAATGGATTTTCTCTCTCTTCCAGCAGGTGCCGGGAAGGAGGAGGACAATCCCCAGCAGGAGCCAGATAGGATGTCACAGATCCTGGAACGGGGTGAGGCCAACAAGGTGGTACAGCAGCAGAGAGACCTCCGAGGGGTGGAAAATGGCTTTGGGCTTCTCAATAGCATGTCCATCCCCCAGAGACTGACCATCTGTGGGCAATGTGGGAAGAGCTTTAGCCAGTATTCAGACCTTATTAAGCATCAGCGGATCCACACGGGGGAGAGACCCTATAGCTGCTCCCAGTGCGGGAAATCCTTCAGCCAGAGCTCCCACCTCACCAAGCACCAGCGGATCCACACAGGCGAGCGGCCCTACAAATGCCCCGACTGCGGGAAGGGCTTCAATGACAGCTCCTACCTCCTGCAGCACCGCCGCACCCACACAGGCGAGCGGCCCTATGAGTGCCCGGATTGCGGGAAGAGCTTCGGAGACAAGTCGGGCCTGACCCGGCACCAGAAGGTGCACCATGGCGAGAGACCCTACCAATGCCCCGATTGCAGCAAGAGCTTCAGTGACAGCTCCTACCTCATCCAGCACCAGCGCATCCACACAGGCGAGCGGCCCTACCCGTGCACCGAGTGCGGGAAGCGCTTCAGCCGGAACTCCCATCTGGTCCAGCACCAGCGGGTCCACACTGGGGAACGCCCTTACCACTGCACCGATTGCGGGATGAGCTTCAGCCACAGCTCCACCCTGATTGGGCACCAGAGGACCCACCGGGGCGATAAGCCCTACAAATGCCCCCAGTGCAGGAAGAGCTTCCGGCACAAGTCAACCCTGGGGAAGCACCAAAGGACCCACACAGGGGAGCGGCCCTACAGCTGCCCCAAATGTGGGAAGAGCTTTAGCTGGGGCTCATCTTTCAGCAAGCACCAGCGCAGCCACACCGGGGAGCGGCCCTACCAGTGCACCCAGTGTGGGAAAGGCTTTGGGGACAGCACTGCCCTGATCCAGCACCAGCGTACTCACACCAGTGAGCGGCCCTACAAGTGCCCAGAGTGTGGGAAGAGCTTTGGGGATAGCTCCACCCTGAATCAGCACCAGCGCACCCATTTGGCAGAGAAACCCTACAAATGCCCGGAGTGTGGAAAGAGCTTCATCCTCAGCTCTCACCTTGCCCAGCACCAGAGGATCCATGTGGCATAGAGCCCCCACGCAATCTGGACGGACAGTTTTGTTTACTATTCAGGCCTCTTTAGGGACCTTAGAAACCAGGCCTCCTTAGAAACCAGGGAGCAGGCCTCCTTAGGGAACAGGCCTCCTTAGAGAGGCCAAGGACCTTGGAGTTCTGGAATCAGGCATCCTTAGAGACCAGGCCTCTTTAGGGACCATGGACCTTGGAAACCTGGGACCAGGCCTCCCTAGGAACCACATCAGCCCAGACACCTGATGTAGCTTGTCGCCTGGAGCGAGGCAAAGCCCATCTGGACTAGTAATGTAGGCATTGCAGTGTGGGAGCAGTGTGGGGGGTAGGGGAGCAGGAGGAATGGAGATGACTGAAAGGCCCACGGGTGGAAATTAGATAAAGGCGGGGGGTCCTGTCTGTCCTAGTTGAGTTGGAGCTATTAGAAATGATCAGCGAGCACAAGGCAAGATTCTCAGCCTGGGGTCACTGCCCCTCAAAGGAGGCCACGGTAGCTCCACCCCTTCCATGTTGCCAAGAGGGAAGGTTCCCAGGTACATGGCAGTGGGATCTTGATGGGGAAGAAGTGAGAATCCCTATAGTAGCGAGGGAGTAATCTCTGAAGGACATGGGGGCTTTTGTCGATGCTGGGTTTTTGCGGGGGCTTGTCCCTTCATTTGCCTGGAACTCCACTGCTTGGGCCTCACTTTCTGCTCCTTCCCCTCTCCCAGGAGCTGACGAGGGGGAGGTATTGGGAGCCATGGGGAGGGGTGGGTGAAATTGCTGGAAACTGGAGGGGGGGCTGCTCTCCAAGGCAAGATGGCTGGGATGGGGGTGTGGGTGTGCCTCATTGCCTTCTCCTGGGTGGCAGCTCCAGTGTCCGGGTGGTCTGACCATGGTGCACAGACTTGCTAGCTCAGGAGCCCCCTAGCACCTGGGGAACATCTGTTCCTGTGCTTGATGCGGGTGGCGTCCTGAGGATGGGGTGGCTGCTCTTGGTGCCCAGCAGACACTGGGCCCCACACTGCTGCTGTTTTTGGTGGTGATCCAGTCCTGCTATGTCAATCAGTTATATCTGTAGAAAATAAAATTCTTGTCCCCATCAGGACCTGCCTACCCGTGTCACGGAGTGTGGAGAGTCACCGGGCCCTACACCCCCATCCGCAGCCGGATGTGACTCTGAGCTGGCAAGTAGAACAGAAGGTTTATTGTTTAACATGGACACAGCGTAGCACAGACTTCTTGTTACAAGAACCAGGAGCATTCAGTACAATCCATCCTGGGTACAGGGGGCCAGCCCCCTAAGCCAGCTAGACTCCCTTTTCCCTAAGCGAACTGAAAAACTAAATTCCCACATCCAGCAACTGGTCCCAGCCCTCCAGGCAGCCCCACCCCCGTCTTTGTTCAGATTCCTAGGTAAGGTGTCACCTGGTTGCTCCCCCCATCCAGGCTCACGTTACAGGACAGCCTGAGCTATTGTTACGTATCTGCTAAAATGGGACAACCTGGGGCAGCCTTCCCCTCAGTGCGAGCCACCTCCAATGTTCCCATCCCCAGACAGGTTCCGGTGCAGTGCCCGGGGAAACTGAGGCACACACACGGGGTTACAACAGAACAGTACAGGACAGTAGGAATCACATACAGCATCACAAAGCAAACAACCAACACGGTCCCCACTACGTCACACCCTGTCTCTGTGCTGAGGGCCTGTCTCAGGGCTCAGCATGGCCCTGGACGTGTCCTCTCAGTTGCAGGGAAGCTCAGAAGCTAGTTGGGATCCTAGTCATCCCCATTTGCAGCTCGGATCCTGACAGAACACGGCTCAGTATTGTCCTCAACGGAGGTGCGGTTCCCAGCTCCCTCCTGCCTTGCCTGACCCCTGGCAGGAGCCCTCTCCTCCCCCGGCCTTTTGTCCCAGAGCTCAGAGAATCACAAAGGCTACGTCTAGACTGGCATGATTTTCCGCAAATGCTTTTAACGGAAAAGTTTTCTGTTAAAAGCATTTTCGGAAAAGAGCATCTAGATTGGCAGGATGCTTTTCCACAAAAGCACTTTTTGTGGAAAAGCGTCCGTGCCAATCTAGACACGCTTTTCTGCAAAAAAGCCCTGATCGCCATTTTTGCGATCGGGGCTTTTTTCCGCAAAACAAATCTGAGCTGTCTACACTGGCCCTTTTGCGCAAAAGCTTTTGCGCAAAAGGATTTTTGCCCAAACGGGAGCAGCATACTATTTCCGCAAGAAGCACTGATTTCTTACATAATGCAGGCGGCCAGTGTAGACAGCTGGCAAGTTTTTCTGGAAAAGCGGCTGATTTTCCGGAAAAACTTGCCAGTCTAGGCACAGCCATACAGTAATTCCTTGCTTAACACATGCCCGCTTAACACGTTTTCGCGATAGCATTAATTTTTTTTTTGAGAAAATTTTTTGAACAACTCGACCCGTCCCCGCAATAAAATGATTTCCCCTAGGGCTGGCCGGTGGCTGGCAGCTGCGCGAGGCTTTCCCTGCAAAGTGGCAGAGGTTCTCTGCTCGCCATGCTGTTTCCCGGAGACCCCCTCTGGCTTTGTCCCAAGCCTTGCAAACTATTACCTGTGTCCAAAACATTGTTTTGCCACTTATTGGCCATTCAGTTGGTCAAGCTGTGTGGGTATCAAAATGCTTTGTATGTACAACAAGCCCCAGACTTCTCTGGGTTCACAGAAGTGATTGAGTGCTAGTTAGCCTACTACAGACACACAAAAAGCTGGGACTTGTAAGGAAATACAGTAATTCCCTGCTTAACATGTGCCCATTTAACACATTGCCCCTGGCCAGAGGGGGTCACCGGGGAACTGTGGGGCAACCGGCAAACCTCCACCGCTTTGTAAGGAGGCAGAAGAAGCCCTGTGCAGTTCCCTGGTGACCACTCACCGTGCAGTTCCCTGGTGACCCCCTCTGGCTGGATGCCTTGTGTTCAGCCACAGAGGGTCACCAGGGAACTGCGCTTTGTAAGGAGGCAGACGAAGTCCCGCGCAGTTGCCGGTGACCGGCCAGCTGGGGAAACCCAGCCGCCAGCTGCAAGCCCCCTCCCCTGTCCTTCCCTGACCTTCCCCAGAGCCAAACACCTCCTCTCCCTGCTATAACCCAGTCCCCTTTCTCCCCCAACCTTATGTCCCAGTCCCAGCTGCTAACAAATGCAGGCTGGAGCTGTAAGCGCACATGCGCTTGAAACGCAACCCCCACCTTTTCCATTATTTTCAATGGGAAAATTGACCCCGCATAACACGTTTTCACTTAGCACGATCATTTTCTGAAACGTATCTACTGTGTTAAATGAGGAATTACTGTAATTCTAGGGCTGGAAGGGACCATGAGAGGTCATCAAGTCCAGCCCCCTGCACTGAGGCAGGACCAAGTAACCCTAGACCACCCCTGACAGGCGTTTGTCCAACCTGTTCTTAAACACCAGCCATATTGCGGATTCCACCACCTCCCTCCGAAACCTCTAACCTGCTCTTAGAGTTGGAATATTTTCCCTAATAACTAACCTACACGTTGCTTGCTGCTGATTAAGCCCATTACTTTTTGTCTTACCTTCGTTGGGCACGGTAAACGACTGATCGCTGTCCCCATGACAACAACCCTTAATGCATTTGAAAACTGCTTGGGGGTTCCCCTTCAATTTTCTTTTTTCAAGACTAATCACACCCTATTTTTTATCCTTCCTTCATGAGTTCTCTAACCCTTTCATTGTTTTGTTCCTTGCCTCCGGACTCTCCAGTTTGTCCACATCTTTTGCAGAGCTTGGTGCCCAGAATTGGGCATGCTTCTCCAGCTGTGCTGAGTGCCATTGGACTGCTGGGGCAGAACCAGCTCCTTAGAAATGATCACAGCAGGGAGCCCTTACCCATTGCTCCCACTCAGATCCCATTTCCCACAGAACATTCTAGCTTCAATCTTCATAAGCCCAACATTCCATCTGCCACAACTGCCATGGAATCTCCGTGAAGCCAACGTTCCAACTGCCATGGAATCTCCATGAAGCCAACGTTCCAACTGCCATGGAACCTCCGTGAAGCCAATGTTCCAACTGCCATGGAACCTCCATGAAGCCAACATTCCATCTGACACAACTGCCACGAAGCCTTCTATTATCCTGCAACCCATAGAAATGCCCCGGACTGGAAAGAGCTTGACCCTTGGTGAAGGACCATCCAGGACACAGCGAGCTGCAGCTGCCAACTCTGAATGTCTCTTAGTGACTGGCTCTAGGGAGCATTGGATGGGGGGAGGGGGCCGTGTGTAATCCAGAAGTGCAGAGAAAGGAGAGGGCAAGAGGAACCTGGACATGGCCCCAGATGGGAGTTTGTCCAGCTCAGAGCAGGAGATGGAATTTGCTTTGTGCTTGTTTTCAAAGCTCTTTTAACTCTCAAGGGCTTTAATAGTGAGGTCATTGGAGTTAGGAAATCCCTTTGCTTTCTGTAAGGATCCGTGACCATCCCTCCCCGTTAGCTGCGGAGGGAAGCCATGCTTCCGCACTACTGCATGCCTGTCCAAGGAAGCTTAAAGGGAACTAGCACTCTGAAGACTCGGACCTGCTGGGCTGCGGGTCAGGCAGATCAGGAAGCAGTCTGAGGCCCTGGCCTCCTGGCAGAGCCAAATGCCAGACAGTCTAGTAGGCTCTGGCCATCTGGGCAGGGCAGAGCAGCAAGCAAACTAAGGCAGAGAAAAGATAAACATTGGCCTCTAGGCCTAAGGTGGGTAGACAGCCCTTCCTAGCTCTGCTGGCGTCATTCTCTCCCCTGTAGAATAGTGATAGAAATGTAGCCGTGTTAGTCTGGGGTAGTTGAAGCAAAATGCAGGACAATATAGCACTTTAAAGACTAACAAGATGGTTTATTAGATGATGAGCTTTCGTGGGCCAGACCCACTTCCTCAGATCAAATAGTGGAAGACCACTATTTGATCTGAGGAAGTGGGTCTGGCCCACGAAAGCTCATCATCTAATAAACCATCTTGTTAGTCTTTAAAGTGCTATATTGTCCTGCATTTTGATTCTCTCCCCTGCGAGCTGCTGTTTCCTTGGGAACGCCTTTCCTCCTGAACTCTGCTCAGCCGCCTCGCCCCAGGGATTAAGGCAACAAGCACTGGCCCTAGAACCCAACCACAGGGAAGCCAAATCTTCAATACAAGTGACTGGACTACAGGCGTTCGCGCTCCCCCTGCCTTTTGTGTGGTATCTGGGGCCATTCGGGGAGGAGGGGGGGCCTGTTTGGAAATGTGAGTGTTATGCTCACTGGACTCCAGCATGGGGTCTGTGCTGGGCGTGCTCAGTTCATGGCGCGTGCACTCAGCATGGAAACGGCAGGATGGGGACGGGAACACCTGCCAAGATGAATGGAGCAGTACACACCTCTCTGAGCTATTGCAACAGGCTGTGTTTCGCAGTCCCCTGAGCCAAATGGGCCACCACACATCTTGCCTCTGTTGTACATGGAGGGCTGTGTCTAGACTTGCAAGTTTTTCCGCAAAAGCAGCTGCTGTTGCGGAAAAACTTGCCAGCTGTCTACACTGGCCGCTTGAATTTCCGCAAGAACACTGACTTCCTACTGTCTGAAAGCAGTGCTTCTTGCGGAAATGCTATGCTGCTCCAATTCGGGCAAAAGTCCTTTTGCGCAAAACTTTTGCACAAAAGGGCCGGTGTAGACAGCTCAGATTTGTTTTGTGCAAAAATGGCAACTTAGGCTTTTTTGCGGAAAAGCGCGTCTAGATTGGCACGGATGCTTTTCTGCAAAAAGTGCTTTTGTGGAAAAGCGTCCGTGCCAATCTAGACGCTCTTTTCCGCAAATGCTTTGAACGGAAAACTTTTCCGTTCAAAGCATTTGCAGAAAATCATGCCAGTCTAGACGTAGCCGAGGTGTATGTCAGGGACAGGCACGGCTGGGCCACAACAGTCCCCCCCAGCCCCTCCAAGCTTGTAACCCTGCACATGCAGATGCCCCTCCCCCTCTCCCCCTTACTGCTACCATCACTTCCTCACTAGCAAACACGGGCAATCCACTGCCAGAAAATTAACGCAGTGTTACTGTTCCCCACAGCTGATGGAGGGGGGCTGAAATGCAAACTCTGAAAGGCAAGGAAGAGACTGGTGGGCAGCCATTTTTAATTGACCTACCAGGGTCCCAGAGGCCTGGATGCATTTTGAAAGTGTCATTAATGCATAACAGAGCCCTCGGTTACAGGTCTGCTCCCAACCTGCATGGCCAAACCCAGCCTGAACAAGCAGCAAAATTTCACAGACATTTTGAGGCCATTAGCTCATTTAATCTGACTTCCTGTAGAGCCCAGGCCAACACTATTAAGCCCAATGACTTTAGTTAGACCAAAGCATTTCAGCCCTGTTGTGAGCTACACACAGGGAACATGAGAAACCAATGAGCCACCAGTGCCTGATTGGGTGAGATCGACCATACGCCAAGGCTACGTCTACACTGCAGGCTTTTTGTGCAAGAATAGCTCTTCTTGCGCAAAAACTTGCAGAGTGTCTACACTGCATGTGCGTTCCTGCGCAAATAAATTTACAGTAAAGCATTGGAAAACAGGGCTTCTTGCACAAGAGTTATTTCTCTCCCCATGAGGAATAAACCCTCTTGCGCAAGAGCTCTTCCACAAGAAGCAGTGTAGTAACATGATTTTCTTGTGCAATAAACCCCTCTGGCTAAAATGGTAATCAGAGCTTTCTTGTGCAAGAGAGTGTCCACCCTGCTATGGACGCTCTTGAGCAAAAGCACATCTCTTCCACAAAAGCACATAGCAGTGTGGACGCTCTCTTGTGCAAGAACTTTTGCACAAGAATTCTTGCGCAAAACTGTTTTTGCACAAGAGCACGCAGTATAGATGTAGCCCAAGGGTAGATATCAATGCTTTGCTGTCAAACTGGGAGGGTGCAGCTAGTGGGGTCCTGTAAAGAGTCAGTCCTAAATCCACCACTAGTTAATATTTTAATTAATGACTCAGAGAATGGAGCAGAGGGTATCAGGATAAAATATGCAGGTGACATCAAATTGGGAGGGGTTGCAAACACTTTGGATGAAGGATCAGAATTCAGCATGACTGTGACAAATTGGAGGATTGGTCTGATATCAAGAAGATGCAATTTCAACACAAACAAATGCGAAGTTCTTCATGTAGGAAGGAAAAATGAAATGCACAGCTGCAAAATGGGGAACAACAGGCGAGGGGGTGGTAGTGCTGGAAAGGATGTGAGGGTTACCGTGGGTCACAAATGGAATAGGAGTCGACAATATAATGCCACAGGGGAAAAGGCACACCAGTCTGGGGTGTATTAACAGGAGTGCTATATGTACACAAGGGTGGTAATTTCCTGCTTGACTCCGTACTATGGCGACCCCAGTTGGAGAATCGTGTCCACGTTAGGAAAGACTTGGCCAAGCTGGAGAGAGAGTCGAGAGGAGAGGAATAAAAATGATAAAAAAGTAGAGAACCTGGCCTGTGAGGAAAGGTTAAAATACTCAGGCATGTTTAAGAGTACTTCCTGTTTTGAGACAGGAAGGCTGTGGCAGGGACCTGATCATAGTCTTATACTAGGTTAAGGGCAGTTCTAAAAATGAGTGATCTATTGTTCACCACGACTACTGACCACAGAATAAGAAGCAATGGGCTTAATCTGTGGCCAGGGAGATATAGGTTAGACATCACGAAAAGCAATCTGACCCGTGGGCTACGTCTAGACTGGCATGATTTTCCGCAAATGCTTTTAACGGAAAAGTTTTTCCATTAAAAGCATTTGCGGAAAAGAGAGTCTAGATTGGCACTGACACTTTTCCGCAAAGGCACTTTTTGTGGAAAAGCGTCCGTGCCAATCTAGATGCAGTTTTGCGCAAGAAAGCCCCGATCGCCATTTTCGCCATCGGGGCTTTTTTGTGCAAAACAGTTTTTAGCTGTCTACACTGGCCCTCCTGCGCAAAAACATTTCTGGAAAAGGGCTTTTGCCCGAACGGGAACGTCAAAGCATTTGCGCAAGAAGCACTGATTTCGAACAGTAGAACGTCAGTGCTTTTGCGCAAAATCAAGTGGCCAGTGTAGGCAGCTGCTTTTGCGGAAAAACTTGCCAGTCTAGATGCAGCCTTAGTGTAGTGAAGCTTGGAACAGTTTTATTCAGGGAGGTCGTGGAATCTTCAACATTAGGTTGCACAGATGCCTGTAGACCTGGTCTATGTTTACTTGGTCCTGCAGCAGCACAGGGAGCTGGACTTGAGGACCTCTTGAGATCTCCTCCAGTTTTATAATTCCCTGCCCAGATGCTGAAGACAGGCGACCCGCACTCCACAGTGCATAGGAAGAGGACAGCCCTGCCAAGGGCCCAGGAAATCTGACGTGGAGGAGAATTCGTCCTGACCCCTAATCTTCCCCTAATTCCTTCCTTACCCCAGAAAGGAGATTTTCTGGACCACTCTAGAACACTGGTCCACCCCATCTGGGATCCAGTTTTCAGACAGGGTTCATCTGTGATGCTTCAGGCTCATGCTGTTCTCTTCCCCAGGGAGTGGCTGACTCTAGAATTTCTCATGGGTCAAATATCTGATACTTATCATGTTTCCCTTCTGGCTGGAGCTTTTAACCCACAGCCAGGGCCTTGCAGGACTGTTCCTCTTTGGACAACAGCTAGCGGAGAGACAAGTCAAGTCTAGTCCATGGGTGACTGTGTCTGTTTACAAAGAATGCCCAGAAGCACCCTGTTTCTCTGCACACTGCGAAAAACAAGTGGCAGCCGGCCACTTCCCTGGAGCACGATCCCCACCTTTGCTTCTCCATTGGGCTCTGTGCTCAACTCTGCTTCCCTCCACGGTCCTGCTCCCATCTCCTTCTCTCAGCTTTCTGCCTCCAACCCTTGCTGATCTCCGAGGGCTCGCACCTGCAAGCAGCCCACAGGGCTCCTCTCTGGCCTGCCCTGGTCTCTTGCCAGGCGCTTCCTTTTTCTGCGGCTCTCCGTCCACTCCATAAGCGGCTGGAAGGAGGTGCGTGACGGCCAGTGCCTCTCAACATCACCCCCTACCTGCTCGACTTGTGGGTCGGCCCCGGCGGATTGTTTTACTGAGCCATAGCCCTTGGCTCTGCATTTAAGGGCACAAAAGCTCTCGCTGTGTTTCAAGGTGCTTGAGAAAACACTTGCCCGCTTGAGCTCACTTTGAAAGCAGCAGGTTGCAGGGCGAGGGATTTGAGCTGCTTTTCACATTCCGACAGGTTGATGCATATTCCAACTCTAGACTGGTAGGACCCCTTGATCCCGCCCTGTGATCCTTCTCTCTCCTGGGATCATCAATCTCTAGCACCCTGGAGCAGCGATTCCCAGCCTTTTCCAGATGGGGACCCATTTTGACAATTCAGGAAGATTGGGTGAATAGGTAGATGGGCTGGCAGTAGCTCTTCCTGCATGTGGGGCAGGTGGCCAGAGTGTCGCCTATGGGGGCTCCCTGAATAGGGTCACCCCCCAGCTGCTCTGCAGGCCCAGCCCCTGGGGGCTCCCTGCCTGCTTCCTGGGGGACACAATCCAGCTGGGCCCCTTCCCTGTGCCAGGCAGAGGGGCAGCAAAGGGAGAGAGAAGCAAACCCCCCAACCCTTCCCAAGAGAGAGGAGGGGTGGGGGTGAGGGACCCTGCTGGGCTGAGCGGCACACCCCCCCAGGGCTGGCTGGACGGGTCTCTTTGGCCCCGATCCTCCCCCCCGGCAGTGATTTCCTGCCTCCGCACCGCCCCCGGCCCAGGGTCCCCACTTCCCTTTGTTTCGCAGCCCCAGCTCTGCCCAGCGAACCGGACCACGTTAGCCCAGCTGCCCTCA